TGATGATAAAAAGTCAATGTTTATCATGACAAAACACAAGACATAATGATAATTTCCATGTGCGGACGACAAAGACAATGAAAGAACATGAAAAACCAGCCGATGTGCTATGAGATGGGGACAATGCTCCACTTCCTCGCACGTATGATATCTTATCTATTTCTTCCAAAGTTGCAGAAGGACTCAAGGAGTATGATAGTAAACTCTTTGTCAAGAATATCACCACCATTTAACGAAGATGTTATGGTGCATACATGAAGTCACAGTCTGCAGAAATCAGAAGAATGATACCTGGTGAACCCCGATCTATCGCATCGCCAAGCATATGCTCTTGCAGGGTCGTGAAAACTTTTGGACTTATCTTCAGAGTATAGCCTGCCGTCTTCTTACAAACTGTCTCTTTGCACACGAACAACCTATCAGCACATTCACGGACTTTAAAAAAAGACTTCATAGCAGCATCGTCGGAACCTAAACGCCCAATACCAGCGATGGCAAACATGGGTTCTTCGACTTTGAGATAGGGACTCAGATGACGAAGACCTCTGTTGATGTTTCCCTCAAAGTCGTAGCATCGTACACGAACTGATTCTAATGATGATAAACTTGCTAAGAATGCTAAAACTACTGGTGATTGGAAAGTTGGAAATGTAGTTTGATGATAAGTTTAATTATAGTATTGTAGTGATGATAGTATTGTATGTACTAACTATTTTTGAAAATTTTCAGCTGAATATATGGCATGTCTATGAGAATTGTGGCCTTCCCTTTGATATGGATAAGAAAACTTTTTATGAAGTTTTTGTGAAAACCGTAAGAGATAGGTTTTATGGTGATATAGAGATGACAATGGTTGGAGGGTATACCAAGTCTATACCAGAACTAGAACTTCTTGATAAGAGGATCAACATCAAATATGCTAACACATTCGAAAGTAAATTAATTGTATCTTTGGTTGTTGAATTGTGAATTGTATCTGTATAACTGTTGTGAACTGTGACTGCACTTGAAAATAGGTATAATTTGATTTTTTTGTTGGGGGTTTATGATAAAAAGCAAAATCAACAAATCATTTGATTGATGAGAATGCTTAATTTCATAAGATCTTGTATCAAATGATTTACTGAGTTTGCTTCTTATCTTCTTTTTAACTCCTAAATCAAACAAACCTTCCAAATGCATATATCAAACTCAAATCGGTTAAAAACCTCTGATTCCAAAATTAAAACTTATTTGTACAAGATATGTCCAAATCAATGATTTTTCAAAAAAGAACTTGGAATACAAGTTTGTGCAATATGATGCAACAAAACAAAAGGAAGAAGAAGAAGCAACTGTTGACTTGAAACTTGTTAAGAACTCAAAAATATATAATAGAGTCCCAGAAGATACTGAAAATTTTGATTGTTACTTAGCAAAAAAAAAAAAAATTTTGATTTTCAATGTCAAAATGAAGTAAATAAATTTCTTAATGAAATTGGGCCAAACTTTCTCTAATGCTTACCATTTTTAGGTCCTATAGGCCCAATATTTCTCTAATTTGATTTTGTGAATAATTTGATTAATGAGATTGATTGTGTTTTGCTTTGAAAACAGAGTTTCAAGGAGAAACCCAAATCGTGAATACTTTTTGCTCCAGCCATGACTTGTTGTGTTGATCGACGAACCAAAACTAACTCACATGGTTAGCAATCAATAATTAATAAGCATGCTTAATTTTGTTGCATTTGTGATTGTGCAGTTTAATTCGATTCTCTGTATATTTTTTTGGTAGATGTCATATGTGTAACAAGTCTCCTCCATTGGCCCAAAATTCCACTGTAATTATAACAAAGCCTTTCACTAATCCCACTTTTTTTAATCTTTTCACGCTTTCAACTTTTTGGCAAGGTGATTTTTGATATGAAAGATGCTTTTCGTTTTTTCAAATTAGTTTGACAAAAAAAATTCACCTAATATTTTTGTTTTTTTCGGATTTTAATTATAGAATGAGTGTTAAGTTTTCATAATTGTGGAAACTATTCGGACTTGTGATCTTGTCACTGACTTATTTTTTTATCGTTAGCGGTTTCAAATTTGTTTAGTCAACACAAAATAAGGTAAATTTACCACTCACATTTTTTTTATATATTTTTTACTAAGTAATTTTTCATCAAATATTTTTGACTTCCAGATTTTAATTAAAAAAATTTGAGTGTTAAGTTTTCATAATTGAAAAAATCATTCGAACGTGAGATCTTGTCATTGACTTTTGTCTTTGACCGTTAGCGGTTTCAAATTTGTTTAGTCAACACAATATAGTGTAAACTTACCACTCACAGTATTTAAATTTTTTTTACTAAGTATTTATTTTCATCAAATATTTTTGACTTCCGGATTTTAATTAAAGAAATTTGAGTGTTAAATTTTCATAATTAGAAAAACTATTCGAACGTGAGATTCTGTCATTAACTTATGTCTTTGATCGTTAGCGGTTTAAAATTTGTTTAGTCAACACAATATAGTGTAAACTTACCACTCAATTTTTTATATATTTTTTACTATATATTTTTTCATCAAATATTTTTGATCCGAATTTTAATTAAAGAAATATGAGTATTAATTTTTTCATAATTGAGAAAACTATTCAAACGTGAGATCATGTCATGTCATTGACTTATGTTTTTTTATCGTTAGTGATTTTATATTGGTTTAGTCAACACAATAAAATGTAATTTTAGTACTATTTTTTTTTAATACTAAACTACATCTTTTGTGTAGAATATTTTTTTATATATTTTAACTAATAAAATTTGAGTATTAAGATTACAAAATTGTGGAAACTATTCCGATGTGAAATCCATGTAAATTTAGCAATCAGATTAACTAATAATAAATGATAAATGCATATTGTCCACCAGGACCTCTATATGTGAGGGTCTCTTGATTTTCATTACCTAAAAACTTGAGATATTTTATACCGTAACACCGTAGGTTTATTCGACCATGCTATGTAACCTTTTTCGAATGCTGTGTAACCAACTTAAAATTCAGAGCAAAGTGATACAACTTTGCTTCAAGTCAGTTGTCTGGAAGTCTCGTGAGACCGATCTGAGAATAAAAGTCAGTTGGTTCGGGGGATGGTCTGCCTTTGATGGGAAGTGTGGATCCGTCGAGCCCATTAGTCCGATAGAGTGAACGATGCATGCGCATTGATCGGACGATGTCACCCATAGACATGTTCACTCGTGCCTAGGTAGGATGGTCGCGCTTTGTTGGGGAAGTGTGGATCCTGCCTAGGGAGGCCCACAGATGCTTCAAGATGGCTTAGGCCTGAAAGTTCAACCGTGAGCTCAAGTGTCCGATAGAGTGAACGATGCATGCGCATTGATCGGACGATATCACCCAAAGATATTTTCACTTGGGTCTGGGTAGGATGGTCGCGCTTTGTTGGGGAAGTGTGGATCATGCCTAGGGGGGCTCACGGTTCAACCGTGAGCTCAAGTGTCCGATATAGTGAGATACCAGTGTTTTTTTTTTCTTTTTAAAGAATTACTAAATTTACTTAAATATATGTAAAGAAAAACTGAAGATGTAGTATAATAAAACTTTTTGAATTTTATTGATTTTAATAAGATACAAAAGTTTTGAAAATAAAGTTTTTAAGAAATTTACAAGTTTAAATTTGAAAGTTGTATCAGAGAGTTTTTAGATAGAGAAGTGGTGGTGAATTTTTCTCGTGTCGTCTTTCTGATTCCAAAAGTGGGTATTTATAGGGAAAGTGAGCGAATCTTCATTATTGAATATGTTAAATTATTTGTCTTTTGTTTTTTCGTGTTTCATTGTGATTGGTGGATGTTTTGTCTAGGGTCCAGTCTTGATGAGTTGAGTCAGGGTTGTCTGACACTTTTTCTGTTGTTGCATCCTGATTGGTGCCGACAGTGTAGCTGGTCTTTAAGTAGGTCTTCTAGTGGGTTCCACATGTTGGATGTCTTAATCTTCTAGAAAGTGGGTCCCGTTTATTAGATGTCTTGGTCTTCTCGAAAGTCTTGTTATACTGCAAGATTATATCTTATACAGATATACTCTGTATTTTATTTTGTATATGACCGATACAGTGTATATACGTAATATAATTAGTTTTTAATATAAATGTATTCTTCTAACTAATACTTAGAAGAAAACATTATTTAGTGCACTAATGTGAAGTATTAGTATAGTCGAACCTTTAATAGTTTTCTTAATATGAAAAATCGTAATTTGACTTTGTTGAAAAAAGAATACATTTTTACTTTCAACATTTTTTATCATTAATATATTTTTCAGCAAACGC